CACGCGATTTCCCCAATGCTTGAAACTAGGTTGAGAACAGTTCTATATACCGTTTGCTTTGAGAGATCACAATGATGAATTGAATGCAGTTTTTCACCGTGAAGAAAGTTGCGCCTGGTTGGACGTGAATGGCTTTGATATCACGTGGCTCAGCCGCAAGTCACGGGCTGAAGGCTAAAACTAAAAATAGACAGGTACAGCAATTAAGGTTCCAACTAGGCCTGATTAGGCCCTGTGCCCTAATTAGTAATATGTCACTGTTGAATCTTCGGCTATTCCAAAGTCCAGATTAAAATAACCTAACCTGAAAGGCGCTGGATACGCCTGAATAGAATATTTTCAGACGGAATCGTATTGGTGAGAGTATGGATACCATGTCATGTATCCCAGCAGGGTATCGTTGCAGCAGAGCAGGCGGCGAGAATGAGAACCGAACTCGCGAGTTCTCACAGAAGCATGACTAACTCTACGTAACCGATCAGTTAACGAACTCGTTACACGGGGAGGTGATGGCGATCATATCTGTCCAGAACTACCTATTATTGAAGATTACATCGAAAGTGGGATTCCGGGGAAATAAATGCCGACGCCATTGGAAAAGTTTGGATACGAAAAACTTCGCTTCTCCGCTCGTCATAACATCCATGGCGTAATTTAAACCGTCATAGACGAATGGTCCACAACAACAACAACTACTCCTAGTAGTTATAGCTGCTCCTCCTCGGGAGAATAGAGAATAAACGCGAAAAGAAAATAGAATCTTGCCGTGGACAAATCTGCCTTGTCAAGTCCACGAATCATTCCCGAAACTGGATATCAAGCGGGTCCGCTCGACTCAACTGACAGCCGGGCCGGAACTAGTGCGCACTACGGACGCAAGTCATGACAGCATCTCGGACTTAAAGCACGCAGCACGACGGCACTTGTCCACCAGACCAGCTGTTCCAGGGACAGATCCCCATATGTGGCACGCTGATTGGTTTCCAATTTTAAATGGGCTGAAGAAACTGGAGATTCATAGCTGTGGCTTGGATCCCCGTCCAGGAACAGAAATCAGGGGGTTCTGATGCTGATTGAGGGACAGGTAATATACGATATTCAATTCAATATTTTGTTTGACAGATGAAGGAATTGTGCGTCAAAAGACAATTTGGATCGTTTGTTCTCACCTGGAGAGCCGTGAGGATGGAGGAAAAAGAGGAAAACCAGACAATCAGATCTAATTCCTCCCGGGCAGTCATGCATGCATTAAAAAATCTTGAGTAAATTAGTTACTACGCATGAATTCCTGAGCAGGGCTAAATTTTGCACAATTCGGTCGGGTACAGGATTTCTATTGTAGGAAGTTCGCATTGTGCTATTAGCATCAAAGAAACAAAGATAAATCAATGTAAGAGAGCGAAACGGGTTTCAAGTTTGAAAAGAATTTTTATTCTCTTCCGCTTTTTTATTATTTTATCTTCATTTTATTTTTTATTTTATTTATTTATTTATTGATTGATTGATTGATCCAAGGGACAATGAATCGTTTGTGGCGCTTCGGGACCCGAAACATCCCCCACTGTCAATAGGTCAAAACAGTTGATGAAGACAATGAACGGTTCGGTTCGTCCTGTGCTCGCTGCAAATGCGTTATTTCGTCTTTGTTAAACGGAGGCATATTTTGAAGCACTCTGAAAGCGCGAACGGGTTCATAGATACTTATTTAGTTACATGCTTGATTATTTCTTTAAAGGAACAAGATAGCGTACATATGAAACATTCTACGAACATACATAAAAAAATTGAGCTGATCCACCCATCTAATCCAGCTCTCGTTCATTGATCCATCTTCAAGGTATGCGAAGCAAGCAGGAGCACAGTCTTCCCTCCAGATAGTAAGCCCATCCATAGTGGAAACTAAATAGATATCTAATTACCGGACAAAAACATCATGCAATCGCCCATTTCAGATCGATCTGTATTTCCCTCGTGTTTCCCCCCAAACGGCTCCGTATGACTTTCAAAATAAATAAATAAATAAATAAATAAATAAATAATAAAAAAAAGTGCTTTGGACTTTACAAACGCCTGTCACAGTGGGTACGGCAAGCTGCCTGCACTGACGCCATGCGGAACTTGTGTTATGAGTCTACGCCTGTAAGCGGAGAGCTACAATGTAGAGTTTTCCGCAAGACTGTTTCAGGGCGCAATTTCAAATGCAGCGTTGAAAGAAAGTCAAAATGAGCAATAATGAATAAAAGCCAACTCATAGTTGATGCTTGCGCGGGACTAATACCGGAACTTTTGATTCTGGAAAACGACCTGTCCATTGACCGGGTGCTTACTTATCCAATTGAGTCACTCCATTGAAGCAAGCATTCTTCTGGTTGGGAACACGCGGCCCGAGAAGATGGAACAGCCACTGCGAAGTAGGGATCTGCAGCCATCGTTCGGGGGGTATGGTCAACCCAATTGAGGAGTATCATGAGAATAGGCCGTGCAATACCAGCGCTTCCAGCTGGCACAAACTGGTGTGAGGCATAGGCAGGATAGATGATATTTCCGGAAAATGCCCCCAACTCCCCTTATTAGAGCCCATGTAAATAGTTGTTGACTAGTTTGATGACCATGGGAGCCGTGGCGCAATGATCAACATCTAAAACTCCCAAGATCAATGACGTCCTGTACATACATACATACATACATACCTAGACCTATTCGCGGTAATCATTCTTCAAGCAACGTAAAATCTATATGATCAGCATATCGCTCCTCCGGCGAGGAACGGAGGAAATTTTCCAACATGGAATGATTGATATGGGTTTCTATTTTCGCCCGTTTTCCATATTTATAGCAGCAAAGAAGCGGCGGCGAGATATTGCTCTTATTAGCAAACAGGTGGGACGGTGCATGATACACAATAGTGCAATCAATTCGCACAAAGTCCCCCAAAGCTTACTGCGATGCCGAGGCTGTAGTGGAGATCAGCGGGGGTCCAGTTGAAGCTCTTCTCAAAATAGAACGCCGCCTGAATAATAAGTTCTGAAGTTCACAGGGGCCCTACCTGAGTTAACTACCACCATCTTTGACCCCGGATTCCTCAACGCCGCCGCTGCATTAAACACAAACCTATTGTTTACCATCATCGACAGCCAAAGAAGCACACTCCCGACGCACTCACAAAATATCTATCCATATAGTTATAGCTTTGAACCATTGACGCAAAGATTCCTATCTCAAATGTGTTTGCGCATTTGGAGCTGACTCGATTCCCGGGCTAGTAGTGGCTTAGAGCCCTTGAAAACTGCCGTTTGAATTCGGAGTTGAAGTCGAGACCGCTCAAGGTACCAGGTACCAGGTACCAGGTACCAATTTGGATCGTATTTCTGCCCCTAACTTACAAAATACCGAAAGTCAATTGAACTTTGATGATTGATAACAGCGAAATTGGTGCCAAAAGGAGGGGAATGAATGAGTGCAACTGAAAGCATATATCTTGGAGTGCTTCTGTTGCCAATTCGGTGACGAGGTCGGCTTACCTCTCCAGCCACGAGTAACTAATTGGAATTGTTTAGTTACCCTCTCCATGAATATTTGGATGTTCGTGGAAGCCTGAGGAAATTCCGGACATATCCTGGGTAACTACGGATGTTAGGAATCCCCTCCCTTGGTTGGCGCTGTAGTATCGAAAGGCAAAAATGGTCAATAGAATGAATGAATGCATTTGTGTCTGCCCTCTCTGTTTTCACTGAGGCAACAACTTTCCACGTTGCTGGCAGCACCAATGGCAGCACCCACGGGCAAATCTAAACCAGGCCGTAGCCCAAAGGAATGCCCGAAACACATTCGTATTGCATTGGACTCTGTGGCAGCTAGTTATCGACCAGGTCGGGATATCCGGAGAGCTGGATGGCCGGTCGGCCATAAGAAACACAGTGGTTGCGTACATGTCATGTTTTTATAGAACAGTCATACGCAGTAATCGATGGCCCTAATCTGGTATTTCCAAATAATATAACTAACTTATTGTGTCAGTTACATTTGTTGTAGCACCTGTATCACCGTATCCGGAACACTCTTGTTTCCGATTACATTTCCAAGCGCAGATTGTTGCAAAGTCCCATCGCAATGAGGTAATAATCCGCAAAGAGGAAGATCGCAAATGAAGGGGCCTCTTTTCATACAACCAACCAAACACTATCATCAAATTCAAAATGAAGGTGCCGTGTCGGGTCAATACATGTCTAACTTATTTCGCCCAGCCAGCCAGCCAGCCAGCCAGCGCTTTGCACGTTTTGAAATTTCCCCATATGTGGTTTGTATTTTGCCCTTGTCTGCGATGCTGAAATGCCGGCCCCATGGAGCTGGATATGGTGTGGCAGATGTTAGCCACCAGCAGAATGATGCATGCGCTGCAAATCATAGGTCCCCGCGACAATCCCATAGGGCTGAGGGCTCAAGGCACATCTGATGTGATTCAGGGGATCTTTTGGTGGGTCCCGGAATGAGCCACGTTGGCGCGCCGCGCCGTGGGACTGGCGTGGGTGGAGAGTGACAACGGTCTACATGGGGCTTGTACTCTCCAGTAACTAACTATCCTTGCAAAGTAGTTAACTGACTGAAGTGACTGGCTGGGGTTGGGCAGGTGAGGCTGCGGTGGCTGAAGTAGAATTGTGCACGAATGGAATGATTGCTTGTTGTGATATAGTTATTGCGGATGGACAAAAAAGAAGAGTCAAAAGAGAAAAAAAAAAAAAAAAAAAAAAAAAAAAAAAAAAAAAAAAAAAAAAAAAAAAGAGAGAGAGGGAGAAAATAATTAAGTATTCTAATGGTGCCACGAAATAGTCAACTCGTCGTCAGTTTGACTCCTTCGGAGATGCTCATTGTTGTAGTTTTGGGGAGAATGGAAAGGAGCACAGGCGTCCAAAGCATCCGGCTTTTCGATTAAAAATGAGTCAGAATCTGTCTTCTAGCTGGTTCGCTGCTGGAATTCCACCAATAACTATCTATCTATGACCATGCGCGATACAATACCCCTGGGCATCGCTGTACTGGCCATCTTCCTCGACGCCTCATTCTGGTATTTAGATGTCGTCCCCTTTTTGACTATGATACAACCATACAGAGTACACAGGACGTCGCCTCGGTCTGTCTGCTTTCTACTCTCATACATTAGTTTGAGATTGTGCGGTGTTTGAGAATGAAGGCTGAGTGGATGGAAATGGTAGCATATCAGATGAACGTATCAAATTTACATAGGTGGGATCTTGAGAGGTACCGCATATTCACCACAAGTAGCGAATAGAATGGAGTTGCGATCCAGGCTTTTGTTAAGCTGTTGCTAATATAGTAGCAGTACCGGGCGCTCTGTGCCAATCAGGCGTTGATTACCAACGTTGGCTTTGTTGGCGCTGCCCAATATTCAAGTATTCAGACGGGGATTATCCAACGTGCTATTCTGACCGAAAGCAAACAAGGCGCCTCCTCAAGTAACTTAGTTATGGCCCATAGGCTCGGTTCGTTAACCTTCGCTGTTGAATGTCTTGAAATAAAACCTGCCCTTCCCCTTCTATCTTCCCAACGGGGTTCCAAAAATAGTAACGAAATATCACTTCTGTATATCCTACCTGAATGTGATATGTACGACGTTGATAAGACAGAGTCAAGCGATAACAAGGAATTCAGCGCATAACAGGAGTTTATGTTTATCTGCTCCATGGGAGTAAAAGAACAAAGGAAGATAATAAGCCGGGGGCATTCAGGTAATATAAGATCTTGAGGAGCATAGTATATACCAGGCATTAGCGGAATGCGCTAGGCCAGGTGTTGGAAAGAAATGGGAGGAGTCGAAGCTTCTTCATATCAAAATGGAAGATAGAGGGGGCTTAAAAACAGGGAGCCAAGGGGAAAAGCCAATAGAAGAGGAGAAGAGAAAATATACATAGGACGGAGAAGAACACAGAGAGAACAAAAAAGAAAATGAGACAAGAAATACATTAGCAAATCAACCATCATTTGTGCATGTGTAACTATGCGGGTGGTATTATGAAAAAAGCAACAACAGCCAACAAAACAAAAAGCTCAATTCCCACCCTGGTAAAGTTTCGTTCTCCTGCGAAAACGTAAGGGCAACATATAATATGTCCCATATAAAAGGAAAGGGAAAACAGAACAGAAATTAATTTATGCAAAGTAGGGAACCGTCATGAGATGGGGAGTGAGAGTTGTAATATAAAAAGCCATGAACAAGAAAGGTCAAAACCTAGGACAAGAAAACAAAGAATATGGGAGTCGGGGTGAGGCAAAAGAGAAAATAATAAAATATAAAATTAAAAAAAACTTAAAAAAAATATTAAAAAAAACCCCCATAAATACGATGACAAAAAGACCCAAGCCGCAGAACACAAAACAGCTCCAAAGAGAATATCTGACGCAATTGTTATGACAACAACACCAGTTCTTCATCCTTGCTAGCAGAGTCAAGTACCGACGACGTATCCAGTGACTGAGCAGAATCATCCTGCCCATTCAGATTCACAGGAGAATTTATCTGTCCATCCACCGATTCGCAAGCGGGTGTGGATTCAGGTTCCGTGACAGGAGATGGAAGGCCAGTATTATCGACATCCTTGACCCCGCTGGCCGCAGGCGTTCGCCGCCTTAGCCTCCTGTTCCTTCTCGTCTCCTCCGCACTCACTCTTCGCCTGGCACGATCCACACCGTTACCCTCTAGATCATTTCTAAGCCCCTGAAGCATGCTGGCCGCACGATCTGCAATATCTTCGCCCTCAGACAGCTGCGTCTCTTTAGAGGGAGAGGCAGCCTCGTCAGACTGGCTGCGGAGATTTAGGAGGTCGCCGTCTTGCGTGCTGCTCGCGACATCGGCATCACCACCTGCGTTGCCCTTTTCGTCCGGGTTGGTGGACAATTCGGGCATTTTTTGGCCAGATGCAACTCTCACTTGATGTCGTTCTTTTAACCTCGCTCGACGGCGGCGATCGCGCTGATCTCGTGTCTGGGGTGCGGCGGCTCGGAGCTTCTCTAGTAGCGTGTCCATCGCTCCGCTGGACGAAGGGGATTGCGCATTGTCGGAAGTGTCTACGCGGCCATTGGCAACGGCGGCATTGTTTCGTTTCCGCGCTAGTGAGGCTTCCATTCGCTTACGCGTCTCCTCCAGGGAGATATTCTTTTCTTTCGAATTCTATAGAAGTTTTTTTGAGTGTCAAAAGCTTGTCGCAAAGTAAGGCGGTGGGAGGAAGACCAATGGATAACAAATAACAAAACATTACCTTCCACTCAACAACAAAGGCAGCAAGTTTGCTAAAGAAGTCTCTCCGGGCATTCTCATCCGAACTGTCCTCTCCATAGAAGACCATGATATCATCGTACGTCCTCGACATCTCATCAAGATATAGCTGCATCTGTTCACCTTTCCGCCTTGCATCCTTCATTGACCGTTGGACAATCTGATTAACCTTGTCTTGCGGGTGAAATTTCTTCGGATCACTCAGATTCCCCGAATCCAAACTAGCCTGGACATTCTTGATGGTATTGATATACGCCTGTGCTTCGCTGCGGAGCTGGTCAACATTGGCCTTTTGAACAGCGACAACACCACCAATCTCCTCAACGAAGCCCTCCCACTCCGGATACTGGTTTCGCACAATCCGCTCCACGAGGTCCGCGAACGTCGACTCGTTCTTGTCATCTTTAACCATAGCCAAGCGGGAAAGGGAACTAAGCTTGAATCCAACAGCCTGCTTGTTCGCAGCGTTCATGAAATTTCCAATGTCCAAAATTAGACCGAGGACATTCATCAGAGACACTGAATCGCGGAGAGATTCACAGACACGAACGATTTCCTGTAGCTTATGTGAAATGTCATCATAGTCCGACTCGAAAGTGCGGGTCAGCTGCAGAGCACGCATCCTCGCCTTCCAATAATGATTAAGCTCAACGGCGGTCTGAAGATAAATTTGATCCTCGCGAGTAAGTTCGGTGGGGTCTTGATCTCTAGCCGAAGTAGCAGCATCAGGGCTCGTCCAATCCTGTCTATACGGAGCCATAGCCTTGGCCGTATTTTCAGGAATACTACAAAGCTCCTCTTTCTGCAAGAATTCCATAACAACATTGTTATTTAAGATATCAGGATCGCAATGGATGATTTTCCGCACGACCTCGTCAGCCGGTAGTTCTGAAAACTTCGCCATTGAGATCTGGAATTTGTGCATAAGCGAGCTGGGCAGGATCTGTTTCTTATCTTTCTTCTTAGACGTGCCCGTGCCTAGAATCTTCGTCTCCTTGGCCTTAAAGAGTCGCTCGACTTCATCCAGGACACCCTTCTTAGCAAGCTCGCTGTATTTCTCTTCCTTCGCTTCATGAGTGGGGGCATGCGCGGCCCATACTGTTACTTGAGGAGCATCAACCTTGTCCCAATGCAACGCCTTTAGCTTCTTCTTAGATTGAATAAACGGTAGCCCGATAGTGGGGGCAGGCGTAGCATCTGCCGCAGGTAGATATCGACCTTTCCAGCCTCCAGTAGCCGCTCCAGGAGGAGGAGGTGGTGGTGGTGGAGAACCCCTTGGGCCAGCGCCAGGAGGGGGAGGCGGAGGTGGAGGCCCACCCATGCCAGGTGGAGGGGGAGGTGGTGGCGGCGGACTACCAACACCCGGAGGAGGAGGTGGCGGAGGTGGTCCGGCACCTGGCGGAGGGGGTGGAGGAGGAGGGGGAGTGCCAATACCAGGAGGGGGTGGAGGGGGCGGCGGTGGACCACCTGTAGCGGGAGGGGGAGGTGAGGGTGGCCCAGTCGCATCAACCTTTTCCTTTTTCTTTGTCTTCGCAACTTCATCCACCTCCTCATCAGAATCGTCAATCTTCTCTATCTTGGAAGCAATCTCGCCCAACAACCCCGTTGCCTGTTTAGGGTTCATCCGAGGTCGTTTAATCTCGATCAGCCGTGGTAGTTCAAGGACAGCTTCCTCGTCCTCCTCCCCAACATCCGAAAGATGCTCTCCCTCATCGACACTATCCTTCTTAGTCCCCTGACTCCTTTTCCGCGACACAGCGCCAAAAGTACTATTGGTAAAGTTGCGCTTAGTCTCCTCGTCGAATCCACCAGAGGAACCAAAGTCGCCGTCCATCTGCTCACGCAACTCTCGTAGTCGATCAGATGGACCGCCCTGCTGCCAAACCTTGCCCTCAAGTTTGAATTGCGTCTTGGTCCGCTCCAGCTGCGTCTCAAGTCTGCTCATAAGCTTTTCCCGATCAAGAATTCCATTCATCCGAGCAGGATCCATATCTCCAAGACCTTCTTGTCCTACCTTCTGTGCCTTAGATGCAGCAACCTCCTGCGCATCACGAAGCATGAGATATAATTCGCGCGTCTCCAGCTCATTTCGCTGCAACTCCTGGCCTCTCAACCGCTGTATCTCAGCCAATTCAGCCCTCAGCGCTTCGTTCTGTCGTGCCTGGAGATTGATGATATCAGTTTGCTCCTCGATCTGTTTCTGGAGCTTCTTGACAAGCCCATCCGCGCCAAGTTCAATTTGTGCCTTGGCTTCGTCTCTTTCAGCAATGGCAGCTTCAGCGATCTGCCTCGCTTCAAGAGCCTCATCAAAAGCAACTCTCGCCTCTGCATCCGTATGAAGCTTATCAAGTAAACTCCGCACGCTAAACGTTAGACCCTGTCGTAGATCTAGATCCGGAAGCCGCCGATCCATAGCAACGTAGCTAAGCATCGCATCCACGAGCTGGAACATGCGCACAACATCCTCCCCGGAATTCTGTCGAATGAGCAGCATATGGTGCATTGCTGACATGAAATAATCCAGCGCACGGCCTTCCTTCATCTTCGACGTTATTGCATTCGTAATATGAACTGGGTCGTTGATATCAATAACCTCAATCTCAACGCTATCTTTCATACTACTCGTCTCCCGCTGGAGCAGATCTTCGTAGTCAATGGCTTCATTTTCCCGATACTGTTCAATCTGCTTATCGATAGCCTCATACTGAAACCCCTCCATCTTTACCAGGAGCCGCTTGATCCCGCACGCTGTAAACTGCGCCCGAATATGGCAGCGGAGGGGGAGGTCATTCTCCGGCGCATCCACGATCATATTGATCAGGAACATTGTCGCAACAGCATATTCCATCAGCAGATTTTCCATCCCAATTCCTCCGCTGCGAAACTCCTCGCTGGCACCGACCAGGCTTCCCATCTTCCCCCGTCCGTCGATCGTAACCTCGACAATACGCATCCACGCATCGAAACGGCCCGTCTCCCCCTGCAAAGTTTTGACATGGTCCATAGCCTGGAGAACCTTCTCATGCCCCTTCCCGTCCGCCCAATGGCACAGAAACGTCAAGACCTCACTGACCATTTTGCGCGTGGTTAGACGGGGCGATATTAGCGAGCTCGCGAGAGCGACGATGACTTGCTGGCGCTCCAACGCATCGTCGGCACCATATTTGTTATTCATGAGCGCCTTGAGACATTTTGCTATATCTGATTCCCGATCGAGGTCCTTGTCTGGGGATGCCGAGACGACTGGAGCGGGACCAGAGGCCTTGCGTCGATTAATCTTTAAAAGAACGCTTGTTAGGGCCACAGGGCCTTGCGCTTCTACAAAAGCTTTTACCCAGCTACATCATTGTATCACAATTAGCGCTGCAAACAATATGGTGGGGCACAGGCTGGGGGAGGGGGGGTTTCACAGCTTACCCAATATGTTGTGTCCGCAAACTAACGCTGAGACTCTGCAATTGTTTCGCAGTAATCGTATCATCCAAGACCTTCTTCACATACCATTCCGGACTCCCTTCTTCGTCGGCTCGCGTGAGGAGACCAGCAGGGCCTTCAAAGGACCCATACGTCGACCGGGCATGCTGTCTCCGTTTCTGTTCTCCATTCCATTGCGTCAAGCGGTCCTGATGAACCAAGGTCCACTTCTTCGAGGCCGGGTACGCCAGCATCTGCCTCTTCGCTTGCTCGGGGAGATTCTGCCATCCTCTCTTAATCATGAGCTCGTAGAACAGCTGGTCCACGATTTTATCATCTTTCGGTCGAGTAAAGGTTCCGTCTGCGGACATGGGCAAGGCGGGGGAGGGGGGTATGGGGGGTTGGTATTGCGGCTGGGAAGCGTTGGAGTGTCTGGGTCCTGATGGCGCTGCTGGTTGACCATGTCGTTCATGATTGGAATGGGATGTGTAAGGGCGTGAAGAGACATCATACAATGTTTGGGTGGAGCCTCTGGTAGCAGATGACACGGACGAGTAGATGCTATTCTGATCCAGAGACGTGCGGGAATTCGTCGAGGAGTCCGGGGTGTTGTATGGCGGATAGCCGTTCCCAGGGCCACCCCACTGCTGATATTTAGGTCCCTTCTCCCCCGTCTGGCTGGCTGCCATGGTCGTGTTGGACCCAGGTGCAGGCCGAGGGCCATTTAGATGGGCCGATCCGTTCGCGGCGGTCTGGGGATTCCATGATGGGTACTGTTGATAATCGTGGCTCAGTTTATTCGGGTGATGTGGGGAGGACTCTCTGCGTAGCTGCTGCTCGGATTTGGGGAGATATTCGACAGGAATTGGGGATTTGGGGTCTGCGGACACGCTGTCATAGCGAATAGCGGTGATAACTCCGGATGTTGTTGCAGCCGGGTCAAAATCGGCAGTTTGCTCCACGGACCGTAAGGATTCGGGTTTGGAGTGCCTGGAGGAGCGTGAACCGGATACAGCGACGCTAGTTCCATATACGTCCAGGCCACCACCACCTTCCGCTCGATGGTCTGGGGGACGATCCTTGTGTAGTTTTCTCCCAAAAAACGACTTGCTGGCTGACGATTGTCGAGACTTATCGAAAGAGGTCTGATGAGAAGTAGGCATGGTTCGAACAGATTACGTAGGCTGTGCTAAGGAGGGGGAGGATCTGTGACATCAAGGTGGAAGTTGTGCAAAGTGAAGACGCCTCTCCGTAAGTTCAAAGAGTTCGAAGAAATGTTGCTATCGAGAGTTATTTTCATCGATCAAGCCCAGCAGAGGTCCCTCAAAAGATCGCCACCTTTTCAGAAAACTGCCCCAACAATTCCTCCAAAAGAAAGACAGAGAAAGGAGTGTAGATTATCGGGATGCCAACCAGGGCATGGACGAAAAGGGGAGGGTGGGTTTGTGGGCGCTAAATCGTGTCGATCTAGCAGATGGCGGACAGAAGGTATCCTCATCCGTATTCATAAGGATGTCATGCAACCGCTGCGGTATTTCTCTCTATCACTGAACGAGTGACAGAACAAAGCGAGAGGAGGAGAATGTTCTATCCTCCCAAAAGCCTAGGGTGACAAAAACTAGGGGTAAAGGGCAAGGGCGGAAAACTAAATACAAGGCGGAACGAACACACGTAACTAAATAAATAAAATCCCACGCCCCAATAGTGTGGCTTGCCGTCGCCAGGAAGAGCGTTGACCCACGAACATCCAGTTTCACCGTAGCCTGCTGTCGTTGGTTGTCGTTGGTTGTCGTTGGTGAGTCGTTGCTGGCCGTTTGTTGCCTTCTCCTCAGGGTCTCCGATCCCCAAAAGAAATGTTGATTGATGAACGGGTGGAAGAGAAAGAATCGACCAGTTCAGAAACGGCTTAGCGGGCATGCTTCGAATGTCACGTGATGGAAATATCGGATGGTGAGATGATCCGGTTTGCCTGGCAGGAAAGCTTAGTAATCAGTCTTCATTTCCTACCAAGAACCAAAAGGAAGAGAGTCAGTCTATTACAAACAAAGACAAGATAAATAAAAAAAAAAAAATATTACTTCTTGACTCGCATTGTCTGGCGGCGGCCCCAGTCAGAGAGCGCAGAGGCATGCATATATCGTATTCTACGTTTCATGCTGCCCTTCTTTGCCCTTCCATCCTCAACCATCTTGGCCATCACAAAGGGCTGCTGAGTTGAAACCAGTCCCAAACAGCTGCACATCCCATTCAGCTGGAAACCTTATGGGCTATTTGCGCATTATTTGCATCTTCCTCTCGTAGAGAGCTCCCCTGCTCCCGACCCTTGCTGGAACCCGTATACATGACTTTACAACAATGTCAGGTCTCCTCCAAGTAGTGAAGGTCAGTTCGATCATTTCCCTCAAACAAACAAACCCCAAAAAAAAAAAAAAAAAACCCAACTAACAACAACCACCCCAACCCGTTGGAACAGACCATCCTAATCCCTGCCCTAATCTCGCTATCCGTCTACCTCCTCCTCTCCCTCCTCATCCTCCCCTTCATCCGCCGCCACCGCCAACGCTACGCCCACTACCTCCCCCTCCAGACAATCACCGCACACACCTCCACCCTTCGCGAACGGATCTCCGACGCCCTCATGCGGTCGCTGCTGCCATCTTCGTGGAGGCTGAGGCATAGCGTTGGTGGAGGCCATGATGATGATGATGACGGGGGAAGCGTGTTCGATCAGGAGGAGGGTGAGGATATGGTTGGGTTTGAGATGGATGTGGACAGGAGGGAGGCGTTGGAGAGGAGGAGGGGTGATGTTGTGGATAGTGAGAGGAGGTTGAGTAGAGATTTGGAGGAGGGCTTTATGGATGATAGTGATGAGGAGGACGGGGAGGACGGGGAAGGGCAGCGTCGTGGTGGTTGTGGCAGCGGCGATGATAGACGGGTACGACCGGGTTAATAATAATGGCTGACTGGATGGATATCTCTCTATGTCACACATACATCCCCTTGTTGTTTTAATATTTTTCAATTCTGCGTTCCATCTGCGGGATACTTCTTAGCATTTACTGTTTGTATATACCTCCTTTTCTATACCTCGATTTATATCTGAGCGGTTTTGTGATTTTCGGCATACCTCTGGTCTTTCAAGGTGGTAAGCAGCTTTTTTTTGGTTTTTGGTCCATTCTCATCAGACCAGGGGCATATATATGAATGGAATTAATATAACTCCCTGCACCGTTCTGAATTGTTCCTTCAATGCGAAGGAGATGAAAAGGGGGGAAATGGAAATGTCAAAGTGAAAAATGACTACTAAAAGAGACCTATATCGTTCTGCTGGCCCCAAGGTAGGATTCATACCAGCATGGAAGCCTCACATTCCCCTCCATCTCCCCGCGATGTGTAAACCACGAATTGCAGAAATATCAGCTCCAAGGTTGCGTCTCCAGGCACTTAGATATAGAAATTGTACCAAATTTACATCTCGTATCAACCCTCCTGAACTTGTTTCTGACAAAAAATATGAAATGGCCATTTGCTATTGCCAAGCACGCTATTGTGATCGATATAGGAAGTTAAATAGCCTTCGATCTCACGTTGTGACAATGAGCAGAGACAGTGATATATGTCTATCAAGATTTGAAGAAATCATCATACTTTGATCATGGTATATATATATAAACATATATATATGATATAACTATGATTCACACAAGAAGAGCCGGAGATCTGGTCACAAGCTTCATTTTGATCATAATATTCCAGCAGCGGGTCAATTCCGGCATTCCTACCTGGCTTCAGAATAATAATAATCTTCAATTCCATAAGAAACTGCTCAGAACATGTTCTATTCTTGCTATCCACGCTCACAGAGCATGGTTCCCCGTGCCAATGGCATCAGTAGGAGGTGTGTATGCAGATGTTCACCACAGCTCCAAGTGAGTTTCCATCAGCAATCCTGGCTCATATGAGGCCATACATCTATCATGCTCTAACCGGAATTTCCCCTGAGGAAGAGTTGGTTATCATGCGGTCGGTGGTGCATTCAATCGGCGAAGTTTTGAAGTTGGCTTGTCTATGATGTATCACCACCAAAGAAACTTCAGCTGTGATAACTAACTAGTTAACTAACTAACCAGTTAACTAACCAGTTAGCTCATGAGCTTCCAGTGGGGAGCGGTGGTTCCCATCATCCAAACAACGGAGCTATCGCTAACATCATGCAAAACTACTCCGTCCGGAGGAGGGGAGGTTTTATTTTGTTGAAGGGAGGGAATTAAGCGTGTAAGCTTAATGGCCGCTGTTACTGTACGGCAAAACGTTATCTTCGAGACTCATTGGTCGGATGCTGTTTGACTTCCTCGATCCTGGATGAGGTAGCCGAGTTAAGGTCAGCTGGGCTACGCTAGTGCAAAGGCGGAATAGCGCACTCCCCCTCCCCCCCAAACGCTTCCCCCTCAGTTCCCCTCATTATGTAATCACACCCCTCAACCTTCCCCCCGCCTTTGGGAGCTTGAACTGGGACATTCAACAACATCTCACGGTGGGGGGGGGGGAGGGGGGGAAACAATTGCAACAATGCGCAATACAATAATGGGCAAGGCTAGCATTGCTAGCTACTATTCCACTGCCTAGACTCGGCATGCTTTTCTAGTTCCTGATCCTGGCCATAACCAGAGCATACGCACAGGGGGGATGATGCAGGCAGGCAGCCCATCGCGGGTGAAGCGGAGAAGCGGAGACGTATGGAAGAGTGGCCAGTTGCAGCTCCTCCCTATCCCACTCTTACAATTGCTCGTTCCATATATGATGGACAATCCCCAGACACACGGGCGGGAAAAGGAAATCCAATGCGTGTGTATATATATATAAACTAATTTACAGCGGTACCTTTTCTTCTCTAATGATCAACATCATTTGCTGTCCGTTAACTCAGCTTAAACCTTGGAACGTTCATCTCTTCCCCTCCTTTTGATATATATATGTATATAAATATTTTGACTTCCACAGCATGGATAACCCGGTTATTCGATGAACTCGTTCCTCGATCTCTCCAGGACTGGAATTAGAGAACCTGTTTCGGAGCAATGGGGGGGAATCAAAATGGCAATCATCGGCATTTGTCCGCTGTTGCAGTTGCACCACCGGCCAGCCAGGCCTGGCTGAATTTCTTGTAGTGCAGTTAGTCTAGTTGCACTACGCTGTATACTGCACACTGGGGTGACGGGGGTGGAGGTGGGGGACGAACCAGTCCGAAGATTCGCCCTCGTGGACTGTGAAGGGGTGGATGAGGGAAAGTGGATGGATTGCCTGAGATGGGCGATGCGATGGGCATAATAGCAAATAGTATAAATAAATAGCAATAGGACATATGTCTTAGCGATGTTGGGCTATATAAACAAGGAAAGTTCCCTGCTGCTTGCTCTGTTGCTCCTCATTCTTCCCTCCCCTATCCGTATGCAGCTATATATACAGATCTTTTCTCCGCACAGCGGAAGATAAATCTGCTGGCATTTTTGTTTTTGTATTTATTTTATTTATAGCTATACATGCTATTTACTGCATCTCGGGTCTGCTTACCCTTACTCCGTCACCCGGAAAAAGATACATAATTCAACTGTGTCTCCCCCTCTCCCAAACCCCCTGCAGGGTCCATCCTGAGTAAGCGAAGTGTCGACTCCTCACTTCATCCCAGCAGCTCACCACCAGCCAAACACGAACCAACACTCTCTGCTCACTTCGCCATTCTCAAAGTAAAACTCACTCCTAGCCAATCCCGCATCTCTTCTCTTCGATTGAACACAACGCCCCATTCTTCTTCATTCAATCAGCTCTAGCAAGCTACAATGGTATTTCTACGGTCTCTATCTCGTCATCTATCCAGCCCCGCCTCCTCCCTGTTCGCGGGCAGATCTATAGGCGCCTCTGGCATCCCCCGCGCCGCCTCTGCTTCGCCTCTGCTTTCCAATGTGTCATCACTGTTGCCTCGTCTTCTCCCTCTATTTGGAGTTAGAACACTGACCGCATCTCCTAAACTTCAGGGTAAAGTTTTGTTGGTTTTGTACGATGTAAGTTGTTGCCCCTTGTCCCCCGCCCCAAAAATATGAGAAAGAAAGAAAGAAAAGAAAAAAAGAAAAAAAAAAAAAAAACCATCATGCACAATACATCGCATCTGTGTTCCACATACAGAGTGCAATCGTTTATCTTATGAAAACATATTTGTATGTCATGTCATCAGTATTTATTCCTAACATCAGGTATAGGGGGGTGAACACGCGAAGCAGCAGCCCGGTCTGCTCGGGACCACTGAGAACGAGCTGGGCCTGCGCAAGTGGCTAGAAGACAAGGGACATACCCTCGTCACCACGTCTGATAAGGAGGGCCCAGACTCCAAATTTGAAAAGGAACTCGTCGATGCGGAGGTCATCATTACCACCCCGTATGTCCGACCCCGACCTGAGCTCTTTGGCATCAGACCTATACCCCATTAGTCATCGCTCTCGTATCACCCATTACATGCATATGCATACATATACATTCATATGTATATAAATCTAACAAGAACCCTTTCCACCCCTCTCTCACCCTCCAGCTTCCACCCGGGCTACCTGACCGCCGATCGCCTCGCCAAAGCCAAGAACCTCAAGCTCGCCATAACCGCCGGCGTAGGTTCCGACCATGTCGACCTCAACGCCGCCAACAAGACAAATGGTGGCATCACTGTCGCCGAGGTAACAGGCTGCAACGTCGTCTCCGTCGCCGAGCATGTCGTCATGACCATCCTCGTGCTCGTGCGCAACTTCGTCCCCGCCCACGAGCAGATTGCCGCCGGTGACTGGAACGTCGCCGCCGTAGCTAAGAACGAGTATGACCTCGAGGGCAAAGTCGTTGGGACTGTGGCCATTGGACGCATTGGGGAGAGGGTGCTGAGGAGGCTGAAGCCGTTTGATTGTAAGGAGTTGCTGTATTACGACTATCAGCCGTTGAGTCCAGAGGTGGAGAAGGAGATTGGGTGTCGCAGGGTGAGTACGTTGGAGGAGATGTTGGCGCAGTGTGATGTTGTTACGATCAATTGCCCATTGCATGAGAAGACGAGGGGACTGTTTGATAAGAATCTCATCGCGAAGATGAAGAAGGGTATGTTTTCTTTCCTAGCTATTCACAATGGCTGCCCCTCTTTATGCGAATACCACTAAAAACACACCCCCTCCCCCGTCCCAGGCTCCTGGCTTGTCAACACCGCCCGCGGCGCCATCGTCGTCAAAGAAGACGTCGCCGAAGCCATCAAATCCGGCCATCTACGCGGCTACGGCGGTGACGTCTGGTTCCCCCAACCCGCACCCGAAGACCACCCGCTCCGCTATGTCCAGGGACCTTGGGGAGGCGGTAATGCGATGGTCCCGCACATGTCTGGCACGTCCATTGATGCGCAGGTTAGATACGCGGAGGGCGTGAAGAGCATTTTGGACGAGTACTTTTCTGGCCGGCAGAATTATAGGCCGCAGGATTTGATTGTGCACAAGGGAGATTATGCGACCAAGGCGTATGGGGAGAGGAATAAGATGTGAGTGAAGGGGGGAGATTAATATATGTGGGGATAGTAATAAGTGGGGAAATGTGTTGCTGCTATTTATCTAGCTAGTTTAACTAACGTAACTAACCAATTCCCAAGCGAGTTGCCACGAAATTCAAACCTATGTTTATTTAATCCAATTAATATTTTTTTTTTTTCAACACGCAGAAAAGCCTCCATTTCACAATAAAAAAATTCTTCAAAATTGTGTAGATAGAGAGGGAAAGCTTGAGCTTGTAATTGCTGCTCTGAAATAGTAAGAAATCTCCTCAATTCATGAGGCTGCAACGTCTGAAATTACCTTCTCCCACCATGCTGTTGAGTTTCTCAGCATCGCATTTAGCCATCTTTAACTACGTTAGTTACCCTTGGAAGGACGTGATCTTCATGCTAATCGTGCCTCCGCGCACCCACACCTCTTGTGGGTGCGCCACAGCGTAACGATAAAAACAGCGTAACGATAAAAATATCAACTTCTTCATTAATCAATCTTCAAATATTAATATATCACCACCACCATGATCAATAAGATAGATGATCTTGAAAAATGTATTCAGAGTGTCATTGAAGTCTATAATGGCAATTGAAAACAGAAAATCCTACCTCTGGCGCGCAAATTCAACATTCCTTATCAACATCTTCGAGCAAGAATCAATGGAAGAAAAACACGCAATGCAAAGACTGCACTGAACAAGAAGCTTAGCAAGAGCCAGAAGGACGTGTTAAAAGAGTGGATAGCTCATATGGACAGAAATAATTGCCCGCCGACCGCAGAGCAGATTCAAGATAACATGAATCTCATCCTTAAATGCCATCATACTGATCCTTCAACCTCCCCACCCGTGGTCAGCAAGATGTGGACCTATCGATATATACAAAGCTTGGATGGGTATAAAGGGTTAAGCAGAAGGCAATTGATCCGAAAAGAATTGCTGTTGAGGATATTAGCTACATCAAGGTGTGGTTTGACTGTTTGGAAATCTTACTTCAAAAGTACGCATTTCAAACCTGCGATATCTACAACTTCAATGAGATTGGCTTTCAAGAGGGTCATGGATGTGGAGAATGGGTTATTACTGCTTTTAAAGACTTTAATTCAGTTATAACTTCATCATATTCTTGAGGATTGATCACTGTGATTGAGTGTGTTTCAGCAGATGGTGAGGTATTGGATCCCTTCATCATCATGAAATCCAAAACCCAACTTGAAGATTGGTATACACAAAGCAACCTACCAGGCGGATATACAATTGTGACATCAGATCCTGGCTATACCAATGATGAGATTGACTTTGCATAAATTCAGCATTTTAATAAGATCTTTAAAAAACATCAGCAAGATAGTCATCAATTACTGCTTCTTGACAATCATGAATCTCATCTTACTGAAGAATTTCTACAATACTGTGATCTTCACAAGATTATTCTGTATGAATTTTCTTCATATTCAACTTATATATTGCAATCTCTAGATGATGTATCTTTTCAGCAGTATAAGCACTATCATTCAAAAACAGTTAATTAAGCTGTGTGTTATAAATATGAGCAGTATGAAAAACATCAATTCTTACAGAATCTAATTAATGTCTGCAAAATGACTTTTCAATCTTCTACTATTTGAGCTGACTTTATAAATTGTGGCATTGTCTCATTCAACTTACAATCTATACTGCTTAAGTTAGATTCAAAAATCTCTGACTACTCTGAGTTGCAAATATATGGAGAAGACTCCTTTTCACTGCAATCAAGCTGTTCAGATACTGCTTCATCACAGCTATTCTCACCCAAGACAATCAAGAAGCTACAACATCATATTTGAGTGGCAAAGAAGGCAATGCAAGATATGGAGGATACACTTGATTTCAAATCATCTCATCTGAGCAATCAATTGAACAAGATTTTCCAAGGCAGTCTTGTTCAGGCGGAACTCAATGCTATAAGAGAGAGTGAGATTGAGGGTTACTACCTTGCAATCAAACACCGCAGCACTAAAAATACATGTCAGCAGGTTCAAATAGGAGGTATACTCACTGTCAGGGATGCAAATAGAAAGATCATGCAACATAAAGAGGAGGAAGCAGAAAAAGAACATTATAAGGGAGTCAAACATGTTGGGAGAGCTTTGAAGAAAAATGCCACAGATCCAACTCAACAAGAGGTTAATGATATATATGAACATCTCCCGAATAATACAGCTACTACAGATGATATAGATAAATTAATTATCATAGATTAGCAGCGTGGTGATGAGATATTAATTTTTGAAGTTCTAATTATCCATATTTTTATCATTACGCTGTTTTTATCGTTACGCTGTGGCGCACCCACATCAGGTGTGGGTGCGCGGAGGCAAGATTAGTCCTTTATTCTTTGTATCCTTAACTGCCCGCTCGAACAATCCAGGAGTATCCAATGACGAAACAAAACCACACCAGATATTTACCATTCATTGGCTCTTAAGATGTTTGATTGGCAAGCTTCATCTTGCTTCCCCGGGCAGAAATCCTCACTGACCTTTAGAATCGTATACCGTAAGAGTCCCCTGCAATGAAGCTCTTCATTGGCGTAACAAGTTATTACCGAATTTTCAGTAGGTAGTTAATCGACAACGGTAAATGCAAATATCCCCGAAGGTATTCACTGAGAATTTTGGCGCTGTGTAAACTAGATTCCTAGCGGATCAAGAACCCGTCGGCGAAGGGAAGAATCTCCCCCAGCCTGGTTTCGGTCCGCAAACGAGACGAGACGTTAACCTTGTTGTTAGTTAGTTAGTTACTTTCGGTGATTGGGAATGACTGGAGTCCGATTGAGCCATCCATGTTATGTTCTGCCTGCTAATAGCTGAAAGTGACCATTTAGTTCTTCAAAGGAACAGGATTGAGATAATTCTAGGACTTCCCCCCGACTCTCAGATTTGTTACTGATGATGCCAATGACGAATGGCCTTGTGAAAAGGCACAGAGTTTGACTCCAGCTCGTATTCCGCTTCTCAAAAGCTCCCCAGTTTAGATATGCCACACTGTTGGACTCGCTAACATCATGTACAACCATGGACCGTCTACTTCAATTCTGCTAGGCAGCCAAACAACGGTGGAATCCGCGGCTTGGCAGGACATTTCTCCCATACAGATGAACCTTGGGAAACCCATACTTCCATGAGTTAAGTGAGGCGAAGCTGCTTTTCGTTGAAGCCATTGCTAAACGCTGTGATCTGCCTCTTGTACTACCAGTGGGGTGGAGATAGGGACTTGTATAAAAGATGGACGCCCCGATTCTTCGTTCGTTCCGGACTCTCTCGAATCGAACTCCTCTAAAGGATATTTTGTGTAAGATTAATCGCAGTCTTAAAAACGTTCAATGGTAATCCGGATTGTCCCCTCCCGCATCAGCAGCATGGTAGGCAATTGGGTAGTGCTAGACTCATACACACCACCAGCGCGTTCCCGCCCGCTGTATCCTTCACCGACTGTCGAGTGGTCTATAGACACTCTCCCCCTAACTGCCCTTTTCGAAACTGCCTCATCTAAACAAGACATTACCCATAGGATATGCAGTGACAGACACGGCCGCCATGTCTGCCCTGACAGACACCTGCTCTCTCTCATCGGTGTCCTTCTCGGGCTAACGCTTCTCTTTGTGTACGTTCAGAGTATGCGCTGCTTGCGCAGGATTCTAGGATGGGTCATGAACAGCAAGAGCATAGAGAAGTGCAACGGCCACCGAACACCTATCAGGGGCACCACGTAAACCACGGGCTGAGAAACTAGAAGGATGGATTTTGGTCCTTCTTTTCTTTATGCTTCTTGTTGGCAACGTTCATCTGAAGCCCTCTGGGCATTCGTTTTATGCTTATATGGAGAACATGATACCCCGTTTGTGACTCTGTTTAAGATCGCCCGCGGAAAATTTGAGACGTGAGGAGGCGGATTTCCAAAGCCATCTTCTTGGCTCTGACTTTCAGGCAAACAAACCAGTCTATGTCCGTCTTAGAATATTCTTGGGATCAAACCCCAGGCAACTCCCGATTGCTGGATAGTGGCACCCTCTCACTGGCCACAGGGGATCCTATGTAATGCATAAAGCGGGATTCGCCCTCGATTCGCCCTCGTTCTTCCCCGAGCATCGGCATGTTAAATAAACATATACCCTCTGCTAAGTGAAAAATATATATCGGTAAGAGATAGTTTGCCGACATTCCGGCTACTTAAATATTTGTCTACCATTGTTTGGTTGAATTTGTTATTGTCTCTAAATATGTCGGTGTAGAAAATTAGCTGATGTTATGCTGTTGACAATGTTGAAGTGTTTTCTACTTAACCAGATTTAGCATCTCAATGCTGTGTGCAGGTTCAAGCACCTTGCACAAATGTCTGCTCATCGCTGACAGATCTACTTCAAGTGCGAATCGTTGGAACCGAGCTTGCCAAGGGTGCTCTGAAATTCCACCAAAGCCCTACTAGTTAGTTACGCCACTATCGCCGACCTCCTCTTCACCCGCCTAACGAACTTGCCCGCGAGTTAGGAATTGCCGCGGCCTTTATGCAAAATATGAAGGGGATCGCTGAAGTCTTCCATCTTTCAAAATTTTAAGTGCATCATGGGGAAACATTTCCAGCAATAGCGACGAAAACAAAATTTCCCGTCGAAACTGCTAGCCTTTCGGAGCTTTCAAAAGCGGCCAGAGAACAAATCAATGCGTTAGTTACTCTTTATGTTGCTACCGATGGGAATCGTGGAAGAGCCGTTGCGTTCATGGCAAAGGTGCTACCGATACCTGTGGAAATTTACGTCCCTCGATTCCTAGATGAAGCCGCACTCGCGAGGATATCTGGTGAAGGAGCAAAAGTAAATGCAGTTTCCGACTCATAAGAACGACGCGATTCTGCTAGCCTCAAAAGCCGCTGATTCTGTGCCTGGTGGTCTTTTGATTCAAGATGCTGCTTTTGATGGCTCTGAGGAAATCCCACTGTGGATCCATCGAGGGATGCTCGACCATGTTTTTACGAAACCAATTCCCAGCTCAAGGAGGAGAGACTTAAAAGCCAGCAATGGCCATCACCCCTGTGGGTGTTGGGTCTCTCGCACAGGCCGTTGTTTCTCATTACAAGGCACCCGCTGATCAGATCTCTGTAGTAGCTGTCGAACCGGACACGGCAGCCTGCTTGCACAAAAGCCTCAAGTCAAGCATATGTATCCCGCTGAAGACGTCGTCGTCCACTATTCTGAAGGGATTAGATTGCAGGACCTACGTTTCTTCGACTGCATGGCCAATCTTACAAGCTGGTGTTGGTGTGACGATTTCCGATTTCGAGGCACACAATGCAGACAAGTATTTGGAATCGCAGAATATAGTTACGAAGGGGACCGTGCGGTGCAGCACGACTGGCTGCCCTGCTGTATTTATCCCAATTTCGACCCCGGACCCGGATACAGTTGTTCGTCCTTTTCTGTATTGAAGGCACTCGGGAGTTCCAACTCCTTTCGATGTGTCTCCCGAAGACCACACTGTCCTCTCGCAGCTATTAGAAGAGATTCAGTCATCCAGCGCATCCTCTGGGATACCAACTGGGGGGACTGAAAAAAAAAAAAAAAAAAAAAAAAAAAAAAAAAAAAAACCCGCACTACGGGCTATATTGCCGCATGGTCAGAGCATCGGGACGTGGACAGAGACGACATTGCAACATCTATGCTTTCTGTTCTGCATTCCCAAAACATTGGACGCCGATTCATCTGTCAGGGCTGATTGACAGGGACAGCGATTTCACAATATCTTCGCACATCCGCAACGGCGAGGAAAGCCAGCGATAATTTTTTTTGTTTTGTTTGGATGCCTTTGTATTGCTCATCTAGAATATCGGGTGTTGGTATTAGAGGTGATTTCTTCAACCGGAGACAAACAGAACTACAGCTAACCCCCCCCCCCCCCCCCCCTCCTCCTCCTCCCAGAGGAATACGACTGATCTACAGGCAAGATACCCATTGAGTTCCTTGTCACCCCTTGTTTGGAGCTCCAGGTCATGTTTCAAAGCAGAGCCAGACCAATACAGCTCAAGGCAGTTGAATAGTTATTAATGCAGTTATGTGAGAGAAAATAGTTGACTGGCTCTGAGAGCATTTCTCAACGACACTTCATGGACGGTAATTAGCAAATGTTGCCCCCCCCCCCCTAACTTCCTTAAGAGTTTATATCTCATGGGAAGAGATTTGGGGAACGATGCAATGCTGGTTGTTCTCGGCATATATTCGGCGGCGGCGACAACATCGACAAAAGGATGGTGGTGGAGGGGTAATAAAAAGCGGATACGTTTAACCTGAGGATTGGGAAATTGTCCACCGTCCAGAACTCGAGGAGGGGTTCTAGATTAAAGCGTTGCATTTTCGGTTTGCAACAGAGGCTTTCAGGAATATCATATGCCTTGAACTTGGAAAGCAAGCACATGAGCGTCTCTCACTTTGACAGGTTATAAACACAGTCAGTGGCCACGATATGTGGAATAAACTTTTGAAGAAGGCTCTCGATCACGCTTTTTGGTTTTAACTGGGTTTAGGGAATGTCTGGCACCCATGGAATCACGAACCAGTAGCATGGATCAGGGGCTTTAAATTAAAGGTCTGAAGACAAGGTTCGAGATTTTACTGCCTACCTGCACATGTCCACAAAATTGCGGATCAAAGATGAGTCTGTGCAACTCCTAGCTAATTAGTAACGGTAGCAGTGGATTGCGGGCTACTTGCTCCTAGGTATTTGGATTGTGAGCCGTATTCTTACGAATACCTCGTAGTACTGCGGAATTTACCACCCATGAGGCTTAATCGCAGAATGTTGCAATTCCAGGTTGTTGCTTGATATTTAGTTCTAATGGAATCAGGCCGCTAAAAAGAAATAAGAAAAAGAAAAAGAAAAAAAAGCCTTTTAAGAAGTCGTGAGATTAGCGAAAGTGTAACTCCATTCGTAAGTGATATTTTGGCACAAAAGATCTTTCATCTTTGTGTTAGCCTTGTCTGTGTTGAGCAGGCCCATCTCTACGCCACATCACATTTAAATGTTGCTGAGGGGTTGCATCAAATCAAGAACCCGAATTTGAAAACTGGTTGCAACCGATGGATGAACGGATAATTTGCACTGCCAGGAGAACTCCGTATACAAACGACCCATAAGGTTTTATAAGATCAGAAAAGGGGGTTGGAAAAAAAAGAAAAAGAAAAAAGAAAGCACACCTAAATTAGTGGACCCGTTGGTTAACCAGCTAATAGATAGATAGACACCGTGACGTAACCAGTTACCTAATGTTGGGAGCCTGAACCAGCGTTCTTCTTGCGCCACGCCCCCCCCCCCCCCCAATATTTCTGGGGGGGATCAAACCACACTGAAACCGAGTTAATTAGCCCCCGGGTGCCTGTTGTTTGGCTCTCGCAACAGTCGCGGCCGCTATTTCGGGAGGGGCTTTTAGGGCTGGATCCCCTGGAGGTGCCCGGTACCAGACACCCTCGTTGGGTCTAGCCGGCCAACCTTAACTTCACCTCCACCCTCGCCAGACTGCCCTGGTTTCACCTCGCATTGAACCTTTTGCCCCTGGCGTAAGGGTCCCTTTTTTTTTTTTTTTTTTTTTTTTTTTTTTTTTTTTTAATTGGATTTGGGGCAGCCATCCTTTGCCCTTTGGTAATGCCCGGGGCCATCTGAGGGCCCGTCCCTGGTGCAAGTTCCGCTCTGCCGGGTTTGAGTTGGCTCCCTCCAAGTATGATGCATGGATTTGTGCTCTTGCATGGCTTGGACGGCTTGGACGGCTTCGACGGCTTCGATGCCGTAATGTTGTTATTTGGAATGAATGACCGCGGCGTTAGAGAGGGTTTCTCTCCCAACCAGGGTCAATTGAGTATGGAATTGATGGTTGTTCCCACAATGGAGGATTCCAAATATGGTACCACTTTGCCTCCCAGAGTGGGCACTGAAACAGTGGATGCTTGGCGTATACCGACCGTTCTATGCGGGCTATGTGGGTGCGATGATGCCCTAAGTGCTAGAAATCGGGGTATCTATATGTGCAAGTGGTTGCCTGGGTTGCAAATGAAGACACTACACATGCTCTTCAGCAGTCATCCGTGCTCACTCCTTTGTCCCTGGTGGTGTTCCCCATCTGTATCTGTCATAAGAAGGCCACGCTCTTGTTCCTGTTAGAGCTAACGCTGTGACAGACTGGCACGATTAGAGGATACGGACTCGAACCGGGACTCGAAGTTTCATATTTGCCACGTCAAGTCCCTCTTTTTCCTGTTCCCGACTATTCATCTTATCCCGCTCGTTCTTTATTCTATACTTCATTCATTATTTCAATTTTTTTCAATTTTTTTCCTTTTTTTTTTTCACATCATCCGTCGTTGTTGCTGGATACCAGCGTGCCATTCTTTTGATTCAGTTTTTTTTTTTTCCCCAACGATCCCAGATGGGGGATCATTAACTGACATGGATCAACCAAATCACTTTGGCAATGACATGTACCGTGACGGGAGCGGGTTCAGAGGTTTTGGGAGTGACTCAGGGAGTGGCTTTGGAGATGCGATAAACCCCCTCAGCAATGGAACTGGGCATGGGAGGGAAGATGGAAATGGTGGTTTGGAGGGCAATCGTCTTGTACACGTCTTGCTTCTGAAATTTAACCTTCAAAACCGCTTTTCTGTCATCATCACAGCGTCTTTCAGTGTGGCAGCGTCGATGTTGGTGATATTAAGTATCATGTATGAGAGCTGGAAGTCGTCAAGGGAGGTCTACCGGCCGAAGATGAGGTTAGAAACTGCCCATTTCGCCCCAACCAATCTTGTTACATTCTCACGGCGAGATTAGGAGGCGATTCGAGATGTTCCACTACATTCTTCCAGCTCACTCTTTCCCTCTAATTTTATCATTTGCGTCCATTTGTCAAAGTTTGGTGTTGCTGGGTGTCCAGAGCACCGCGCTCAAAGACGTGTTTGCAAAAGGGTGTTCAGCCTCCTCACAAATTACATGGACAGGTGAATAATAAAACTCCTTATTTCCCCATAGTTTAGACATGACTGACATGGATATTATGTAGTTGTGTGGGTCATAGGTTATGTTGTACTTGTATTTACCTCGGAAGCTGTTATTCGAATTGTCAGGCCATCTAGATTTGCGGCCAAAGGCCGATGGAACTCACGTATATGTTGGGTTCTTGTTGCTGTTATGCTTCTCTTGACATGGATACCATCCAGTGCGAACACCAAAAAGAGAGAGAGGTGTTTGGCGACCTTATTACAATTGACCGCGCACTGGTCTGACATCGGCTTGGGGCTAACCATCAGTCTAATTGTCTGCTACATCGTGAATGGGACCACCTTGTCAATAAGGCTGTGGAGGACTGCGCAACTCGATGCCCACGATCGAATTGCCGCCAGCAGCATCGTGTATTACCTGGCCGGCACGACCATCGTTTTTGTAAGCCATACCAAACCGTTTTGTGCCTTGGGGTCGTTGAAGGGGGTTTTGCTCCTGTGACTAATCATCAGAAGACCCTAGTTCTCCCGTTCTGGGTACAAGACACGTTTTGGCGAATAGCGAACAACTCTTCGACTCTGATGGGCTCCGTGGCCTTGAATTCGTTCGGTATTGTCTACGCTTTTATCTACCTTCTCTTGCGTGCGAATGGAGGGAACATGATGATCGGCCCAGGCACCAAGGCATGGATGAAGCACTCTCTGAAAAGAGTCGACTCAACAGAGCTTGCTCTAGAGGCTCAAATTACAACACCCATTGTTACGGAAGATCCCAAAAGGCCTTACTTTGAAAAAGAGGTCTATTTTCCTCCTGATAACGACCGACTCGAGGAAACAGGGCCAATGAAGCCTCAACCGACTTTGAACCAAGTCCCTGCGCCGCGACACCGTGCTAGGCATTCAAGAAAGCCGTCCAACTATTCCTTATTCCCGGCGAGAGATTCCTCCCGCCAAACAAGACGATTTATTTTGAACTTTAATACGAGTCGTGAGGATATACTAGCTCCTCCTCGACCAAGTTATGCACGCCATCGACGCTTCTCCTCTGACATCAGTGCAGCCACGGTGCAAATCGGCCTTCGACTCAGCAACATCGCAATGCCTGGGCCTATGCAACATCAAAACTCTTCAACAATGACCCTACCCTTTTCTCTCGTCCAAGATGTGCCCCCCGTTCATTCATCACCCAACAATGGCTCAACTCCAACAGCTTCAAGATTCCAAGGCTTATGGAGCGATCCGAAGCCCTTTGGTGAACTCTCAGCAGGTCCCCCAATCGATGGAGATGATAGTATGAGCAGAGTATCGCCCAAAAGGCAAAATACACCAAGCCCAGAATTCATCGGTCAAGACCCACGACAACGGAGCCCTCCAACGAAGCGGCGGATAGACCCGCCCTGCATCAATAAAAATCTTCCCCCCACCCCATCATCGGCCACTTCAGCCGATACTACTTTCTCTAGCCAGTCATTCCTCTTAGCTGATCCGGCCTTCGCATCTCCTCCGCCATTACAACCTCTCTGGTCACCTCCCGACCCATTATCCATCTTACCAAACAAAACTTTCAGGGAGCCTGATCACTGGATTTAGCATACAGTTAATGAAAACTACGGTTTCTTCTTTTCTCAAGTTCACTGATCAACCCACCAACTCATTAGAACAACTCCCACTTCATTCCAGTACCATATTTGCCCCCTCCTCATAACATTGATTCCATCAACGACTCAATGACATCACTCTTTAATAACAACAACAACAACAACCATATTCTAAGCCGTGCAGAACACCATGCTCTAAGTAGTTTGTATCTCCACCGGCTGTTATTATCGTATCTATGTCCTGTCCTGTATTATTCATTCTTTTCTACTTTCTGTATAACTGCATCTATTCCTTATTTGTAAGAATCATGGGTGTTTTATTTACCATTTCACGATTAACCCACTCAACATGCAGGAACACCGACGTCGCCCTTTGTACTTATTATTTACCACTACCCATTGCTTCCTTGTATATCATTTACCACAGAACACATTTTTAGCAACCGTACCTCCAACCATATGTCGTTCAATTAGCGTCTATATACTGATAGTTACACAAGAAATGAAAAGGATGTGAAGAGGGAAAGTACGGATTTTATACAATAAACTTGCCCCCTCAAATAGTCATCAAGGGTAGAACAAACTCATTGTTCAATCCATCAAAACACCACGTTGACAACCTTCCCACCACCAACAACAATAACCCGCTTCCTCTTCTCCCAGTCATTCCTCTTTCTCAGCCACACTTTCCCCTCATCGGATTCCAGGAGGTGTGATAAAATCCATTCTTTCACTTCTGGGGACACATTCTTCGACGACGCAGATCCGTCACCGGGCGGAGATGGAATGGTTGTACTGAAACGGAGTTTTCCGTTTATTTGTACTGCAACGGTTTTGCCACTGCGAGCGCGGAGGGTTTGGACGTCGTATTCTGCGAGGAATTGCGTGGGCCAGGGAGAGGAGAAGATTGATGGGATTGCACCTGCAGGTGTAGGTGATGGAACCGGGCCTGTTAGGATGGAGCTGTGTAGATGTTCCCAGCATTCAGAGGCGAGCGCGGGGGTTATGGGGGCTAGGAGTCGGAGAAGAGAGGAGAGTGCGATGTACAAGATGGTTTGTGAAGGTGGCGATGACGCAGTTGCGGGAAGGGAAGAGGATGCTAGCGCGTTGGTAAATTTAGTCAGATCAGATATGACGGTGTTTAGACCGTAGGGTGTTTCGTCGAGGCAGTGGGAAACGGATTTAATGGTGTCGTGTGTCGTGAGGAGGATATTGGCTTCGTCATCGGATGTCTTTTTCAGGTCTAGCAGGCGGATATCATTCATGTGTTTCAGAGATTCCTTGCTCAAGAGCGAGAAACTTTCCAAAGAATTTTGTGCGTCTGTTACGACGCGCCACAGCCTATTAAACCACCGTTCCATACCGACAATTTTTGACTCATCCCACTCAAGAATCTCACTGACAGGGGCGGAAAACAGGATATGTGCGCGGATTGCATCGGAGCCGTAGGTGTTGATGCATGTGGTAGGGTCCACGCCGTTGTGTTTGCTCTTTGACATCTTTTCAAAGGTTATATTTGGGGCGATCCAGGTGCCCTTGATCAAAGGGGCATCAGGATTTGATAGGTCAACTTCTGATGGCTTCAAAAAGCGACCTGTCGACGGGTCAGAATATGTCTTTCCATGAACCATTCCTTGTGATAAAAGTTTGAGAAAGGGTTCCATGACCGCTGCGGGTCCTGATGGCTCTTTAGGGAACAGTTCAGTAGTCGCCAGAAATTTATAGATAAATCGAGAGTATAACAAATGTAATATTGCATGCTCGATACCTCCGATGTATACATCGACAGGCTGGACGGTCGAAGCGGAGAAGGGTGCCGTTTTGTTGAATGGGTCAAGGTATCTTAGGAAATACCAGGAGGAGTCAACGAAAGTGTCCATTGTGTCGGTTTCTCTTTTAGCGGCTCCTCCGCAGCTAGGGCAAGAGGTGTGCAGCCACTCTTCAGCAGATTCCAATGGATTTCCCTGTTTGCCTCTAAGACCGACGTCACCTTCAATTACGGGAAGCTCAACGGGGAGTTGGTCAATTGGAACAGGAACTGGGCCACACGAATCACAATGAATAATCGGGATTGGAGCTCCCCAGTATCGCTGCCGGCTAACTAGCCAATCCCTAAGTCTCCAATTTTCCGCGATATTTGCAAAATTCCCTTGCCTTTTCAAGTCTGCAACGATCTTACTCCCACCCTCGTCAGAGGCCATGCCACCGTAAGATCCACAGGTATCTGCCAAAATCCCTTTCCCAGTGAATGGCTTTAACTTGCTAGTGGATGATTCTGTGAGACTATGTTCCTGGGAAGACTTTGGCTTTATAACAAACGACACGGGTTGGGATTCCGAGTTTTCGTTCCAAAATGCAAAATCTCGAGAATCATGGCCAGGCACGCCCATGACCGCACCTTCGCCGTACTCTGCCAAAACGTACGGGGCGACGTATACAGGGATCGACGATTGTAGGGAAGGATTTGCCTCGAGAGAACTGAGAGGGTTGACGGCCATTACACCTGGAAGTCGATAGCCCGCCTTTGAGTCCTGTGGAAGAGAGGCAACAGATTCGAGAAAGAATTTTAGCCCGGTATCCGAGTTTGACAATTTCACCACCAATGGATGGGTTATTGACAAAGCAAGATATTGGACGCCATGGAGCGTATCCGGGCGCGTAGTAAACACTTGAATGTCGTAATTATCGTCGGGGGCGGAAACCAGAAATTTAATATGCGCGCCTGTGGACTTGCCCAGCCAATGTCTCTGCATGGACAACACTCGCTCAGGCCAGCCATCTGCCAACGCATCAAGGTCCTTGAGTAGTGCCTCCTTAAAAGCAGTGATGCGGAAGAACCACTGCTTCAGCTCGACCTTTTTAACTTTTGCTCCAGATCGCCATGAACACCCATTTGCATTCACCTAGTGTAAACACATCAGAATGTACTCCCATAGGATAATAATAAACTACCCATACCTGTTCGTTTGCCAAAACAGTTTTATCGACAGGATCGTAATTGACCAGGGCTTTTGCTTGATATGCCAGTCCCCGTCCATATAGCATCAAGAATAAGCGCTGCGTGTGCTTGTAAAATTCAGGAGAGCAGGTCATCAGTTCCTACCAGCACTCGTTGCACCATAGACAACATCAGCAACAGGGAATATATATAAAACCCCTAACAATATACACCAAAAGGCCCAAAGAAAGAGACATCCCCACATATCTAACCATACCCTATTCCAATCAAAATGCGCCCCAATAGCCCTGAGCTGCTCCTTCATGTTGGCTATATTCTGCATCGTCCACTGGGCGGGGTCAATTCCCCGTTCGATCGCCGCATTCTCTGCCGGAAGCCCAAACGCATCCCATCCCATAGGATGCAGCACATCGTATCCCTTCATGTGCTTAAAACGAGCCAGCATGTCGGCAATGGTATAAACCCGTACATGTCCCATATGCAACGTACCGGACGGGTAAGGGAACATCGCAAGGATGTACGCTTTTTCCTTGCCATGGTTCTTCACCAAATGTGCCGTCGGATCATCCCGCCATCTGTCTTTCCACTTTTTATCTACGGCTAGCAGGTCTAGCCTCCGCGGGGAGGTTGATGCGGCGCGGAGGCCGGGCCGAACTGGCCGGGAGGAGAGGGGGAATCGGCCCCATTGTCGGGTAAGAAGAGAGAGGCGGAAGGCCATATGGGCAGACATGGCATCCCCTTAAGCGCCCTCGTCCCAGGAATCCTTGGTCAGGCCATCTAACAATGAGTCTGATTTGTCGATGTGACCCGCAGTTGAGGAAATAAACCCCGAAGTCTCAGAAAGTCGAAAAAATGCGGACACTGAAGCCGGAGCGCGCTAGTCTGTTTTGAGCCTAGCGGCTATAGATCTAACAATCGGCAGGGAAAATCGTTACTTAACAGAATCTTGGAATCTTCGAAACAACCAGAAATTCAATTGCGATTATTGGCAGTCAAATAGAGAAGGCTAAAATGTGCATACCTCTGATCCTTACGTACTAGCTATTGTCACGGATTTTCCAAGGGCATATGCTAGAGTAATTTCATACTTCCTCAGACTTTAGAGGTAACTACCTCGGTTGCTTAAATTCATGTCTGACGATTATCAAGATGGGGTAAAATATCACAAATATCACATTGGATATGTCAGATCTGAAAGGATGACTGACAGTGGCAGTTTGGTACTGTTATTGCTTCGCCCATAAAACCTTTTAGATGCCGTTCACCATAACTAGTTACCAACTATACCACTGGCTAAGGAAGGAAAATGAAAGCTTTTAGCCAGATGACAGACGAAGCTCACCAGCCAGCTAAGAACACAAAGAGAGCTGCTTTTAAAGAGATGTAACTCCTTCATTTCATGGTCATCAGAAAGGGGTTTGACGCAGGCACACCTACAAAGACCTCCAGAAATTTTTACCATCGGAAAGTGGACGGTGTGGGAGCGAACACGGTATACCAGTTTGCTTAGCAGCGTTACAAAGTATGGTCTTATCTTCTTTCCGGGTGCCCCACACTCAGTCCGGAGAAGTATCCCTACGTGACACATCTACAACAGTCAGCAAGCGCGTACTCCACCCGTCCTGTCTTTCCGTCACGTCAAGGAAATTATCACACCTTTTGCTAGTAGGCAGCGTGGTTCAGAATGCGTTCTTGAACCTCCAAGCAGGAATTTGATTGACCAAGATTCTGGTATGTGTAAGAGGCTATAAATTTGTTATTAGTATATGAAAATCCAGAATATGTAGATGATATTATCCAGATGTCAATCACGTACCTGGATTTGCTGACGAAGAAGAAATTCGGCTCTCGGCAGTAGAGAGGCAGCTAGAATCTCTCAGAACCAATATCCTCCACTTTTGGTTAAATGATAACCACTACCTTCATTGAGAGGAACAACTGCCCCTTTGTATCTGAGAGAAATATCACAATTCCTTAAACGAAGAGGAGTTATGTTCGCACCGGTTCCCGAGATGCGGCTTCTCTTAAGTCGTGGCGGAGGGCCTCGCGATGCAAAACACCGGTGTTGATAATTTACCCTCCATGGGGAGGGCATAGCGATAAAAATGCCTACAATTATAAACTCCAGCTATCATCAAGATGTAGTTTGATCTAAAAAGTTCCGTCATGTTTTGTGTAAGGTTCTTCCAATTGTCTTGCAAAGGCATTCGAACAGTGGGGTTTATTTCAATGAAATATATAACGTACAGATATTTGGAAAGTTATGCTGGGTCGTGAAAGAATATGGTCGTGCGGAGAAAACGCACAGCGTCCGAAAAATGGACAGAACCTAGTTCTCCATATCAGCATAAAGCCGATAAAACCGAAAAGCACCATGATTCATGACCAAGCATTGTCCCATATTATAGAAATCAGGCTTTAATCTTCCGGAAAAACGTGCGAATGGTCAAGTAGGCCTGTTTTGGTATTCAAAAGGCTCTGTCCATTCGAAATATGTGGCACCCGAGATGGGATAACAAATAAGAAGAGCAAAACTCAAGCGACGGCGACTTCCCCGGAACTTCTGAATAGAAGCTGAGATTCTCACATGCCGGGGCATTTCCAACAATGAAAAGAAGGTATATGCACTCCTTGATGCAAGGTTGAGGATTGGCGCCCGTCAACTTTTTAAGCGAAGTTCTCAAAAGCTTGCAAAATGATAAAAGGCTGCTGGAGGTTTCCTATCTTGTAGCCGTGCTTTATCGCAAGACGCTGTAGTTGGCGAACATTCGATGTACAACTGAAACCAAACCTGGAATAAAACTATCACTCGCAAGACATACTGCCCAACGGCAGGGAGGGTTGACCAAGCCATGCCCCTTGGAGATTTTCGCATGTAACTGATGGATTACCAAATAATTTTGATCACAAAGCACATTGCAAATCTTGACAATTTTGTGGTTTTCAGTCGGCAGGTTTCAGACTGACAGGAGAAGTTTTGCAAGCCAATAACTAAACTGCAAAGGCGAGCTCGAATCTCAGCCACCATGCGCTCCGCAAAAACTTAGGAGAAGTTGTTGATATCAAGCTTATCAACTTCACATCAGCATCAACCACTGGGCACATTTAGGGAGTGAGGCCAACCAACTGCGAGTTGCGGAAAAAGCAGACTCCATGACTACAAGCTGCTAAGCCGTCGTCTGCCACATCCTTTGACAGCCCTGGATAGTTACTCTGTGGCATCCAGGGATGTTCATTCCGCATTTTCAGAGAATTCGTTGCCAATATCTTGCGTCCTAGAGTTAACGGCGTGTTATGATGTGGAAAGAAAGATTAGGAGGTGTATTTAAGGCTAACCCAGTGAGTTGCAGGCTGCATATTGCGTATAACCCCGAAGAGAGGCATGTGAATCATGCGGCCTCATGTAGGGCATCCAGCGTCCGAACGGGTCCTGGGAGGACCCAATATCGCCAGACGGTGCGGTGAAAAAGAGGGCATTTCCTAGAAGATTTAGTTTTCAGATCAAGTCAGGCCCCCAAATAGTTAAATGATATCATACTTCCGCCCTGAACCAGGCTTTGTGAACTTGCCCCTGAACCGAATATAAAAACCAGGTACAGAACTCTAACGTAACAGCAAATAATAAACACTCTAATGCACCGTAGAAAGACCAAATATCTCTCACCAAAATATATATATCTACCTCTATGTGTATACCAATGCATCTCCAAAATAGTTTATATCATACACAACTTCCCCCCTGAAGGCAATACCCCCATC